TTGGTGCTGAGTGAGTGTTTCTCCGTACTTTCTGGAGGAAAGAGCATGTTCCCAGGAGTACCCAGGTCTCCCTGCTGAGGCGTTTAAGTCCTGAATTGGTACTAGAGACATTTTAAGAAAATTGTGATATATTTCAGGAGCCTCGGATTGAAATAGGGTGATGTAAAGTGGTAGACTTAAGATATACTGAAGAGAGGTAGGGAGTGAGAGTTTTAAAAAGTATTTTTAATTTGTACACAATAAGAAAAATAGACTTAACCAGAAAGAGATTTCTATGTCAATTGTCTGGTAATGTTATTGGGAGTACTTGTTAATTGCAATGTGTGGTAAAATGCCACTCATGTGACCAATAAGACATAATGGCTGTTCAGCCACATTTTGTTTCACGTGTGACTGCTGTTAAAACAAGTGTGATCAATGAATAGTTGATGTTACAGCTGCATACAAGCAAGAGTTCCTAGGAAGAGTCTTGAAATCTTTACTGAAGTCTCTGTTTCCCGCCGCCATCCTGAAGTCAAAAGTGTTTTAAAGTAGCAGGCAGCCTTCTATTGATGTATTTTCTTCTCTTCACTTGGGATTAGAGACAGAGGCTTTCTTCAGTTAATTACAAAAATTATCTTTAGCCAAAGTTAATCTCTTGAGATCTTTCAGTTGCTTTTGAAAGAGTGATTAAAATTTTATTTAATTTTATAATTATAAATTTTGGATAAGTTCAGTACTTTCAACTGCGTCTGTCAAATTATTATAATAAGTATTTTCTACCCTTGATTCAAACAAACACCCATCCTCTTTCCTGGTGAATATCAAATCCCAGGGCTGAAACTGCCCATGGTAGTGTGGGTTCTGTACAAAATTAGCCAATAAACGTATTAGTTGGAAGTGGCATTTGTTAAGGAAATAGAAATGAAATAAAAATGAAGACCTATTTTGTAAAATGCTCCTTTTCTATCCCGTGGGCTCCATGATGGAATTGTAGCTTGAAGCTCCGGTCTTCCGGAGAATGAAGGCCTGTGGGCCAGCCCTGAAGCTGTTTTCTTTGTGGTTTGTCTCCTGGCCAAACCCATGGGAAGCCCATTCTTTCATTTTCATTCTTTTCCTTCTCTAGTGCTTTTGAACACAGAACCCCCATCCTCCCACCACCCAAACTCCGCATTCCAGCCCTGTGACTTCACCACCAGGCATGTCTCCCCTGCCATGCGGGAGACCACCTGCTGGCTCCTGCAGGGGAACAGACAGGAACATAAACTCAGCGCAGAAGAGCGGGAGGCTCTCTGTATATTTTTAAGACCAGGAATCCAGTTCCCATTTAGAGGCTGTATTTTTTTAATAGCTTTTTGAAAATTGAACAAAACATTTCTTGTTGCTCTTATTTGTCGATAATACCATTCCCTCTGCACTGATGTATAGAATCTTAGCAACTAGAGAATGGAAAAGATGTATTAGATCATGTCTGACCCATTTCCCCACTGGGCACAATACTTTTTCCCACAGTCTCTCCTCTGGTGCTATTTTGTTCTAGTTTTCTCAAGAATTTGTTTTTTCCATTTCTCCTAGGGAATAATTTCTGAGTTTGACCATGGAGGAATTTATATGGAAATACACATGTTCTTTTTTTCAGCTTACTATTCCCTGTCTTCATAACCCTTTAAATTACCATAAACAGTCTTCTTCCTAGGTAAAGTATTTCTGGATGGACTTTATTTTTCCTTTCCATTTATTAAGTTCAGAATTCATTTTTCTGCTTTGCTTTCTTTTTTCATCAATCAGTCTCTAAAGCCCATTAATCATTTTTTATTGCATTGAAAACTTCTTTGCTCATTCCCATATCAGGAGCCCAGAGCTGGGAAGGTCCCTGGGTACTGGAGGAAGCCTCAATGTCATGTACTCATTCTGCGCTTTCTTCTCTCTCTTTCTTTCTGTTTCAGTTCTTAATTAGAAACTATTTCTTATATATTGTTTCTAAATTGTTTGGGGATTTATTCATCTGAAGGCCTATTTTGTGTGTATGTTATGATTTTGAGTAGTAAGATTATATTTGTTCTCAGTTACCTAAAAGGTATTTCTTACATCCTCAAGGCCACAAATCTTGCAGGTATCCTCCTGAGTGCTTGGATCAAATGCATTTCTGGACCACCGAACTATGATGGAGCATTCTATTTCAGGGCTATCATCTTAGCAATAGAGAAGGAAATAGATTGTATTCGTAGGATTTGGAATTCTTGGGGAAAGTAAAAGACAAAACTTAAGTAGTCTTGGCACTCACATACCAAAAGTAGATTAGCTCTCAGGAGCTAGTGTTACGTATAAAGACAAAGAATAAATCGGCTTTGTGGTTTCTTGGACTGGAGGACCCAATAGTATAAAGATGTCTGCTCTTCCCAAAGCAATCTGTAACTCAGTGTAGTCCCAGTCAAAACCCTCCACAGGCGTTTTTCCTCTTGGGACTTGATGAGATGATTCTAAAGTATATTGAGAAGTGTAGAAGGCCAAGGATGGGTGAGATAACCTTGAAAAAAAAGAAGGGGGGAAGAATCACTCTACCAGTTTCCACAACTAATTTTAAAAGCAATGTAGTATTAGTTCAGATATAGACCAATGGACTAATGGGTCAGAATTCAAAGTCCAGATCCTTACTGGATTCTTCATACAGGAATCCTTGATTTATGACAGAGATGGCATTTCAAAACAGTGGAAAGAGATGATCTTCAATGAATGGTACTGGAAAAGTCAGATATTCATCTAGGAAAACGTAAACAAGTGGGATTCTAACCTCACACCATCTGCAAGAAACTCCAGCGGATACAGACCTAAATGTGAAAGATGAAACTTTAAAGCACACACACACGTGAGCACCTGCTTTATATATGCGTAGATGTGTGTGCATATGTACAGATATAGAAACAAATTTTCATGACCTCAGAATATTGAAAGGTTTCCTTTATGATACCATAATCAGTAATCAAAATTAAATATTTGGTAAAATAAAGAACGCTTCTCTCTTTATCAAAAGATAATGTAAAATGAAGACAAATAAATGAAACTGTATTTGCGCCATAAGTAATTGACAAAATATTAGTATCAATATTTTGATAAATAAAAGACAAGACAATCTGAGAAAAGTAGGCAAAATAAATTGAATGGGCTTTTCATAGAAGAAGAATTAAAATAGCAGAACATGGTAGCTAATGGAGAGAACATACATGGGCTTTGAAGTCAGTGGTACCTGGTTTGTAATCTCAACTGCACCACTTAGTAGCTGTGTGACCAAAGGCAATCTGTCAAGCTTTATGAGCCTCACTTCTGTCATCTGTAATTTGGAGGTAATAAAATGTCTACTATATTTGGTATTAGAAGGATTAAATACATTAATGTATGAAAAGCACTCAGTATAAATACCTGTAACATAGTAGTTGTCCTGTAAATTATGGCTACTATTATTAATATTTTGTTCTAATGGTGGCTAAAAATGACAGTGATGCATTTCATTTCTTCAGAACCTTTTAGTTATAGCACATTAATACTCAATTTTGGTTTTTCACTAAAGAATATAAAATAATTCAGTGGGAAATTGTATTTTTAACCCTGTATTGTATTTTTTTCTTCTAATTTTCCTATTATAATTTCAGTATTAGAAAGTAAAAACCAAAAGGGAAAACATGACCATGACAAAAATGTTTTTTTCTTTGTGTTTTTTTTTTATTATTGTGGCAAAATACCTGTAACACATTATTTATCAGGACTGTAGTGGCGCTTAGTACATTGACAGTGTCACGCAGTCTAGGCCTGGAACATTTTCACCCTTCCACAGTGAAATCCCAGGCACATTCATCGCCTCTACCCACTCCTCCCTCTTCTTGGCCCTGGAAACCACTAATTTGCTCTCTGTCCCTGTGGATTTGCCGCTTCTGGACATTTGATCTAAGTGGGATCCTACAGTAGGTGGCCTGTTGCCTCTGGCTTCTTTCACTTCACATGATGCTTCCAAGGTTCCCTCACATACCAGTAATTTATTCCTTTTATGGCCTTTTTATGGTCAGACCACATTTGACAACAATGTTTTATAATTTAAATAATTATACAGAATTAAAATCTCCTTTTGAAGAAATGAAAACCCAAATATAATTTTATCAGAAGTAAAAGGAAACCAAAGCACAGAAAAATTAAATAACTTTATCAATAAGGAATATTAGACATCGAGTGTGTGTTTCCTAATTTCTAGCCCAAGATCATGCATGCTAATTGTCAGATGAGCATTTTTTGTTTTTTTTTTTTAAGTAAATAGCAGTAGCCTTTAGCGCTAATGCTAAGGCTTTCATTTCCTTAACTGTAAAATAAGGGAAATCACATGACAAGCCCTTGAGGCCTCTTTATTCCTCAGTGAAATTTGATTCTATGTCTGAAGCCTTTCTCTCTGATCACCAGAACCACAGTCATCATTTCCTCTTGGGAACTCCTGCCTGCACCCATTCTAGGGTGTCCCAAAGGTCACCGTGCACACGGAAATGGGAAATTGTAGATAAATGTATCTTTATTTACAAAACATTCATTACAAATTTTACAAAATCTCAATGTGTTGGCCACCTCTGTAATATTTTATAATGAAATTTTATAAATAAAGGTACATTTAGCTGCAATTTTTATTTTCTTTATGTATGGTAACTTTTCCAAACTGGTCACAACTGTGCTGTCACATTGTACCTTTAATTATATTTTCATAAATTTATCCTCCATCTCCAATTAGATTATAGTCTTTTCAGGATTCAGACCTTTTTATGAGTCTCTGTGGTTATAAGCTTTTGAGTGTAAAAATATTTTTAATATCATTTTCTGTTCCTAGTGGCTCTTAGCATAATGGTTTGCACACAGTAGGCATAAGATGATGATGGCTGTCAGATTGCAGTTTAACAAAATAGGACTAGCTGTCACAGGTGTGGCAACATGGGCACGGGATTTATGGATTTTGCCTCAAAAGCAAATACACTTGTTCTCTTTTGCTCCAGGAAGACAGCATGAAGCGAGTCTTTTCTGGCATTCAACCTACAGGAGTCCCCCACCTGGGTAATTACCTGGGAGCCATTGAGAGCTGGGTGAGGCTGCAGGATGAATATGGCTCTGTGCTGTTCAGCATCGTGGACCTCCACTCCATCACTGTGCCCCAGGACCCCACCACCCTCCGGCAGAGCATCCTGGACATGACTGCTGCTCTTCTTGCCTGTGGCATCAACCCAGAGAAAAGCATCCTTTTCCAACAATCTCAGGTCAGCTTCTCACATGAGAACTGAGAAAACTTTTAACTTCAGATTATTTGTGGGAAAAATTTTGAGTGGTTCATACAGTTTCTGTTTGTGATTTTTAAAAGCTGTTTGAGGGTGACTTCATGAAATGTGATTATTTCAGTTTAATGCTTTACCTATCACTAAGTGTCCTTGTACTACAATAGTCTTTTTCGATTTTTCCTCCACTATACTTGGTAAGCTTATAACTCTTCATATCTCATTAGTACTTCTAATTCTGGAATTGTTTTTCTGTGCTGGGTTGCATTCAAACTGATGACTTCATGCTGTTGACTAATCTCCTTGTGATTAAGGATAGAATGTTTTACGTAATTCCAGTGCTGCTTTTTGGGTATTGCCCTTGGAAGGCCTATTGGATAATTCTCCTTGTTCATTCTTTATCTAATAGCTTTTGAGAAGATTTGATAGAACAGGCTGGGAAATTGGAAGACAAAGACCCAGTGTTTTATGTCCAAGCCAAAAAAGGCTTCAGAACAAAGCCAAAATATTTGACTCATATCTTTACTATGGATGAGTCAGTTTATTCTTGGACAGACAGATAGCCTGGCCCAGAGACGAGATAATTAAGATACGCCCTAGAAAAAGAAGATGAAAATTTTAACTGGATCATGCCCTCATTACTTATGTGTATCTGCTTTAACCTTATGACAGAGCCCAGCCAAGTCATATGTTATGCATGTTATGGTACATGTTAACATGTATACATATATGTGACCTTTTTTATCATGAACTTTTATCATATTTCTATGTATGTATTATTATCCACAGAACTCAATGGATTCACCCAAAACAGCCAGTTAAAAAATATGTAATAGAGTCCAGTGGTCCCTCGATATCCATAGGATATTGGTGCCAGGATATCAAAATCCACAGATGCTCTAATTCCTTCTATAAAATGGTGTAATATTTGCATTTGTCCTATGCACATCTTCCCATATCCTTAAATCACCTCTGGATTACTTATAATACCTAATACAATGTAAATGCTATATAAGTCATTGTTATGCTATATTGCTTTCTTATATATATTATTTTTCCCCCTGAATATTTTTAATCTGCAGTTGGATGCAGAACCCACAGATATGGAAGGCCAGATGTACCTTAAAAAGAATAAATGGCAGTTATCATAAGGTTTGTTGCCAGCTTGCAGACAATTGGTAAAATAATAGAATCAAATCATTAAAAGAATCATAAAGGCAACTTATCTCAACTTCCTTCCTTATAATTGGTTGGAAAATCTTTACTTACACCTGACTTTTCATATTTAATGTTGGGCAGATCTAATTGTTATATACTACTCACTTTTATTGAGCAAACATCTGCTTCCCTAGAATTTCCATCCATTCATTTAACTTCTGTTCTCTAAAAAACACAAGTCAACTCTGCCTTCCACACAATTGCTCTTCAAATACTTGGAGACATTTATTGGATACCTACCTTATAGGGGTCTGTATCCTATTCAGGGATGTCTAACCTCTGAGCTGTGGGCCACATACAGATTATTTGAGGACTGCTTTGCTTATCTGTGGTGTTGAATATCAAGAAGAGTATGCACAGACATTTTCTTTGCTCATCAGACTTTGTTAATGTTTGTGTATTTGCTACACAGCCCAAGACAACTCTTATTCTTCCAATATGCAGCAGAAAGGTGAGACACCCCTGCTAGATTCTCACCTCCCAGGTTTTAACCTTCAAAGTAGTTGTTCCCAGATCTCTCACCCTCTTGGTCATCCCACCTAGAAGCACTCTTACCTTCTCTCTGAAGAGTACCTCTCCAATTTCATGAAATAATGTATATTCAACTTTCTATATCCCTTGACATTGGAAAGGTTATCATCATTAGAGACATTTTCAGCTCACTGAATACATTTTGGAAAGCACATCATCTTCACTCCTTCTGAGCTCTCTTTTGATCCCGATTTGATAGTGTTTCTAAAAATTGTATTCCCAGCTATAAGTTTGGATTTCCATACTTCTTACAGGTGAAAATGTATAATATCTACCAAGTAACCACTTTGCCACTTGCCTTTGCAAGTGATCTTTAAAATTAAAGGTTTATTTACAACCAAATTGCTTAAACTTTGAACTTATTCCCCCAGGAATGATTACCATATTATAATTTTTTTCTCTTTTGGAAAGGATTTTTGTCATTGACCTCCGCTAAAATTTATAATTCTTGAGATATCTTCTTCCACATAGTACTTTGTTGTTCAAAATAATAATTGAAAGAGTAACCCACAATATGGGGGATTTCATAAGTGCTCCTTCATAAGTGAGCAATAATAAAATTCATATTGTCCTTCATAAGTGAGCTCCTTCATAAGTGAGCAATAATAAAATTCATATTGTCTTTGAATGGAACCTTGAGGTCATTGACCCCAAGATGCTGTGGGTCCAGGTAAGAGACAGCAGGTGGCCAGTGTTGACTCTCCTCAGTACCTTAGTGTAGCGCTAAAGCTGTCCCACCATCCCCTCCTGCCATCCCTGACTTCAGTTCCCTTGTGGGGAGTTTTGGTAGTTTGCCAGTAAAATTTGAGAAAAGTACTCATCTTGCCCATGTTTCATAATTTGTCTGATAAAAGCAACATGAAGAACTTCCATGGGTGTCTTTGTGACCTTAATGCAAACTTGGTCCTGGCCATTTCCTCCTTCTTTGACTCAGACAACCAACTTATTACAATTCTATGCATGGTCTGGATATTTTATCAGACTCTCTTTCCTTTTTTTAAAGGAAAAAAATTCAATATTTATAACAATAGAATAGTATACTATACCCCCACCAATTATTAACATTTTGTGATTTGTCTCATTGATGTTATTTTCTTAGTTGAAATATTTTAAGTAGATACCACATGTCATGGCACTTCACTCCCTAAATATTTTACTGTCTCTCTCTATAGATTTGGGAAATTTCCTTATATATGCCCAATACTGTCATCACACTTAACAAAGTTAATGATAATTCCATATTATCATTTAATACCCAGATTATCCCAAAAATGTCTTTTATGTTTGCCTTGAGTGAAAATCTACCAAAGTCTACACATTACATTTGATTATGGATCTAAAGTCCCCCCCCCCTTTTTTTTGAGATGGAGACTTTACATCTTCTGTATTAACCTGGATTGAGGTGGAACTCATTCTTAGTAAAGCATCACAAGAATGGAGAAGAAAGAGTCCAATGTACTCAATTCTAATACAAAGGCAGTAGATGATCTAACACAAAGGGGGTTAGGAGAATGAGCAAGTGGGGAAGAGGGGAAGAAGGAAGGGAATGGGGGGCTACAGTGCATGGCACACCTCTTGGGGGCGAGACAGAATTATAAGAAGGGCTTTACCTAACAAATGCAATCAGTGTAACCTAATTCTTTGTACTTTGAATGAATCCCAAACAATAAAAAAAAACTCTTTTTGTGTGTATGTAACTTTTCATTTGTTCATCAAATTTTTATTTATTTGCTGTAAAATTATTCCTTCTGCACTAAAAAAAAAATCTTTAAATTTTGACTCTTCTATTTTTGTTCATGCCTTTGATATATTGATTAGGTTTTCATGTATTAGCTGTAAAATTAAATTCTTTTGAACTTAAAATAAACCTAATATTTTTGTTCCTTTCTCTTCACACTAATTTGTGTTAACTGACATTTAGTGACTACCAACTACTGTCCCACAAAGTTGCTCATCACTGTGTTCATTAATTTGAGTAGAATTCAAATGTGCCCATTTACTAGGTCTAGAGTGCCTGTGTTGTCCAGTAGAGACCTTGAACTTATTTCTCCTAACTGAAATTCTGTATCCTTGGAACAACATCTTCCCATTTCCTCTACCACATTGCTCCTTAGTTTCACTTTTGTATCCCACAGATAAGCGAGGCTATACATTATTTTTCTTTCTGTGCCTGGCTTATTTTACTTAGTAAAATATCCTCCGGGTTCATCCATGTTATTGCAAATGACAAGATTCCCTTTTTTAAGGTTAAATAATATTTCATTGTGGATATGTACTGCCTTTTTTTTATCCATTCACCTGTTGATGGACCTCTCCTGGCAATTGTGAATAATGCTGCAACAAAAACAGGATGGCAGATATCTCTTTGACATACTGATTTCATTTCCTTTGGATATAGACCCAGAAGGGGGATTGCTGGACCATGTGGCAGTTCTATTTTTAATTTTTTGGGGAATCTCTACACTATTTTCCATAATGGCTATACCAATTTACATTCCCTCCAAAATAGTGTGCAAAGGATCTCTTTTCTCTATGTCTTTGTAAGCACTTGTTTTATTTTGTTTTGTTTTTGAGACAGTCTTGCTTTGTCACCCAGGCTGAAGTGCAGTGGTATTATCATAGCTCACAGCAACCTCAAACTCCTGAGCCCAAATGATCCTCCTGCTTCAGCCTCCTGAGTAGCTGGGACTCAGCTGCCTGACTAATTTTTCTATTTTTCATAGAGATAGGGTCTTACTCTTGCTCAGGCTGGTCTTAAACTCCTGGCCACAAGCATTCCTCCTGCCTCAGCGTACTGAAGTGCTAGGATTATAGTCCTGAGCAACTGTGCCCACCCACAATACTTGTTATCTTTCACCTTTTTGATGAGACACTTTCTAGCAGGCTTTAAGGTGACCAACCTGTGACATTTCCAGTAGATAGGGGCTAAAAAGAAAATAACCATAACTTTTTAGATCTGTTAAAAAAGTTAAAGGTCATGTTTATTAGAAAACTGCTATAGTAGAACCTCTGTAAGCTGACCACGCCTTGGACTGTAACAAACTGGTCAACATACAGAGGTGGTCAATAAGGAACTAGGCCTACAGTACTGATAGGTACATGAGGTGAGTGTCTGGTCTGTGAAACTGGGAGGTGGTCAACTATGGAGGGTCTACTGTGTTTTAAGTGAATAAGGTTTACCAAGCCATTGCATGTGTGTGACTTCTCCTTTAATTGTCAAAACAGCTACAGGAGTT